CAGATGAATTCCAACGAGTGATCTCAGAATTATAAAGAAGAGACCTTATCCTTTCAGCCACCAGCCGTCAGATAGAAACGAAGATAGTAAGGGGACAGCATTGGTGTCGGCAGTAGAGGGAAACTTTGAAGCGCAACTATAAGTAGTGACCGTAGAGATTGAAAACCATTAAAACAGGCGTTAGTGAATGAAAAAGTTCAAAAGATGGACTGCCGTTATAAACGTTTAAGCGTGCATACCTGAATTATTACCACTTATCTATCTAGATCGGCGTTTTTGCTGTGGGGTAGAATGAATCTTAACCATTTGTAGGAAACGGAGGTTGGTGCAGCTGTCCACCGTACGCCACGTGTCTGGATGACTGTTAGCACAGTAACAGCAAGCCTATTGGAATTGTTTCGGCGCAGCCCAAGTCAATATCGCCAAGCCGCATGTGGTGCGGACCGTCGCAAATCACTTGAAGGTTAACACTAAGACAACCATAATACCATCAGTCTTCCGTGACGCTGCGAGGTTGTGACTTACGGTAACACTTAAACAGCGCGTCGTTTCGTGCCAAACAGAACTTTGATCGAAGCCCAGCTTTATTGTTCGCGTCTACGCATGGTAAAACCACAGGGATGGTAAATCATGCTATCCAAGAAGATGGAACATTATCTTCACACTAAGTCTTGGAGAACGGAGCTGTTAAGTGGCTGGCAATTAACTCCTTACCGTACCTGAACAGTTTTGAAGGAAAATTGTTCGAGCCGGTAACCATCAATTGCTTAAAGTATCAAAGCTCAAGGTAGACCATAGTTTGTTTGGAGTTCCAGTGCAACGTTTCAAGGCGCGCAACTATTCATACTTGTTAGACAGCCAGGATGAGGAAGCCAAGAGATTCGGGAGTAGAAGGGCTCAACCCAGCCCCACATGCGCATTTGCAAATTGGTGATCGGAGATCCGTCGTCACTGCAAATTGCCACTCTGGCACCAAATGTTCTGTGGCCACTGGACCGAATGATTTGGAAGAGTTTGAGAAATTTTCTAGAGTGAACAGTTAACTCCATCCCTAAGGCAAGTTGCGACGACCAACTTTTGCGATAAGTGCACAGGCTCTGCTTGATTTGCTGGCTTAGGTTGCAGTAGGCCTCACTGTGGTATGAATCAGCTGGAATGGCATGGACATGGTCTAACAATCCCAATGGGCCTATATCTCAGAGCGCGACCAGTGATTCCACTGACAGATTGGCAGCGAGACAGTATCGCTTTCAGCAAAAAGCTCCAATGACATTCGACATCTTGAGGTGCACTGCTAGCAAGTGTCTCTGATAAGGAGGATTGCAAGGACAGTTGAATGGGTAGATCAGCTAGCCAGTTGGTATCGAGCATAAGGTGTCTTGGTTTCGAGAAACCGCAGTAGGTGAACTTAATCGGTCTACAATGCCGAGTACTGCCCCATTTGTAGGTGGTTTTAATGTGACCAGTTTATGACCACGATTACATTGGCGAAGGTGAACACCAGGTAGCACAACGTCTATTTGTGTGACTGAACCGCAACTACGGTTGTCCCAACGTAACGTAAATAATCTTTCGGCGTTTTCAAGGTGACTCACATTAAGGGCATGATGGCCAACAAGATGAAACTCGCATGACAGCAGGTAGCCGAAACATGCATTGAAGTCACCGGCAAGAATAAGCACATCGGTTCTTTTGGCTTTATTCAAGGGCCGGTGGAGTTCGCGAAAAAACTAGTCCTTAACCGAGGCATAACTGCAGTCGGTTGGTGGGTAGGCGTAGGTCACAAACAAATTGCGTCTCTCTCCATAATGTCTGTTGATGCTGCATAAGCCTTGGAGACAAACCACACACAGTAGGGACTCAGTGATGTGCGGATCCAGCAGCGTGGCATCCAAGTTGTCAACCAATGTGATAGCAGGTTCTGTCAAATCAACTGGAGCTACCTTTGTGTCACTAGACAGTCACAGCGAATGTTTGGTTCCGGGTTCGGCGAGGTTAACTTTATAACGGTGCCGCAATCCTGTAATTTAATGTTGGAAAGCCAACAAATATCGACGATGAAGGACTCTAATGTCAAATCAGCACCACAGTTTGTACCTTAGAGGTTATCAACTTGGACGAGATCGGGTTCGAAGCAGGACCACTGGCCGGACTCTTTGGGCGTCGACAAGACTGGCATCGGAAGTAGATTCAAGGGAATGCGAAGTATGATCGAAAGTAAGTTTGGCTTGTTATGGAGGAGCATACATAGTGAAGATGGCGCGAGCAGAAAAGAGCAGCGTAGTAGGACTTTCGGATTCCACGGTTTTGTTAAAGGGCATAATACTATCCGGCTGCCCGAGCCGAAGTATAGAGTTAGCTTCGGGACACCACTCAAAGCGTTTGGCTGAAAAGCCTACTCGTAAGTCGATGGAGCGAATTCAGGAAGTCGCACTTACTAGGAAACGGTGACTTATTACTCAGCCCATACGCCTTTCGCCCGGGCGGCTGCCAAACGAGGGTCCAATTCCCCCCACAGGTTCAGCAGCAAGCTAGTGGAGTACAAACGCCACCAGTGTGAAAAATAGGCAGTAACTTAATTTAGTGGCCAGTCGCATCCTTCAAGTCACAGCGTTATCAAACAGGTATGTGTGGCTTTTTTATACAGAGGCTTGTCAGGTGAAAACCCACCGATTCTTGGAGCACTGCTACTAGACCATTCGCCGGCACGAGATAATCCAAAAGCACCCACCTGGCACCCGAAGGAGATTGTTCGACAAGCCAACCACTGACAGCACTGATTTCCGTGATCTTTCATGCAATCTCGAGAGCCATTTACTGGCTCAAACAAGCAACTCACTCCAGTGCTTTCAGTTCATACGCAAAGGCACTAAGTGACCTAGTCCCCGGAGTTTGAAATATAAGGCGCCGTATGCTCAGTGGCACAATTTTCTCGGTGTTGCAGCCATAAAGATAAAATGGTCCTTGCTTCTGATTGCTTACATAAATAACCCCACTGGTTTCGAAACCAATGGTGCTCGGGAATGACTGACTTATAGACGCTTTTAAATGGAGCTTCGAGTGAGTTGCATAGCGCTGTAACCCGGTAAACACCTACCGGGTGTTGCCTGCGAGAAACGATCGCACACCACGAAGGGCTTCGGTTTCAGTTGATCTCAGCAGGAGGAGATTGCAGGCGTCGAACCCGTGACGGTTGGACTAGTAGCCGAAACCTTTATCCTTTTGTTTATCAGGTTGCGAGGAGTAATGCTTGTCACAACGGTTAATGACTGATTGAAGGGTTTTGACCCACCTTCGTAACCCGGTAGCCAATAGAGATGAAGGTTTCGGCTAATTTTCAAATAATCGTGAGTTTGAGACCTGCTATCTCCGCTTGATGAGATAAATGGGATCGAAACGCGTCGTGGTGTCTAGTGTTTTCGAGTGGGCAACTCCTAATTTCCATCCGCTTCGGCTGTAGTCCCGCTGATCACATTGACCAAGGTTCAGTTCAATGTGATTGGCGGTCCACACTGAGATTGCGCATCGTAATGCATTCACACAGCGATTGCTTCAAAATAACCCTCCAATCAAACACTAACGGAGATTTTCCGAACCTTTCTGTACTCACTGTTGACCATCATACAATGAGTGACTAGTGCCATTTTAATCTGCACGTGCTACAATCGCCAACGATGCGTGATCATTCTCTTAGCCTTTACAACGAACGAAAAGAGGCTGCCTGCCCCGCAGCTGGATGGACGAGCCGAGAGTTTCGGTTGAATCACCAAAAATCGTCTGTTGACAGCAATCCACTCTAGTATCACTAGCTTTGCGCATGCGTTTCTGTTGTCTCCACTTCGCCATAGCCAACAGCTTCGGCAGTCATGTCCCAGGATAATCACAATATGAATTTACCAGCGAAACTTGTTTACGGTGAGACCAGTTTTGGCATAACGCTGAAGATCCAGTAACGGGTTACAGTTTAGTAACAAATGTCAATAGCAAGTAGTTTCATAGTACGAACGAGGGTTGCCTCTTGTCTGATCTGTGTCGGCGCTCGAACATTGAATTTAGCTTACGAGAATTCGGAACGAGAAGCCAGGAAAATCTTGCCATCCCACAAATTCGAATTTCTGTTCCATAACACTAAGAAATCTCACTAAATTCGACGCGGGGTTGTGGCATCCAGAACGGACGGGGATTACTAAGTATAGGGATTTGAAAATTACGGGAGAAAGCTATCGGTTTTTGGTGTTGTACAGCGTGGCTTAGCAGCATCGCTGCCTAGGTTGAAGTTTCTGAAACGCAAAGAAAACAGCTGATCCTTGGGTTGTGTTGTTACCGAGCTTCTGTGTTTCCCATGCTAAGCAATCGAGTTTACCTAGATACACCAACCGGAGCATTGGACCTCGAAGTCCTAACCAACAATGCAACGCCGCGATTAACGCCCAGAACGAGACCATGGGAACCGGCCAGAAAAGTTCGGATAAGAGGACTTTAGCATCGTAACAGGACACTCAAAACACTTGAGGAAGTAGATTTGCGCATTATTGTCGGCCGGGGCCGAAAGGATTGGGCGTATGCTTTGTACTCCGAGGTCGCCGACTCGGGCGACCTCGCTGCATACCCAGACCACGAGCGACCGGTAGTGGTCACGTCACAGCAAAGTCGGTACTGTGTGCCGGCGCACTGTTGAGGCCTCGCTTTGTAGTCCACCATGTACGACTTACTCGATACAAGTCGTGATCTTCGGAAGCTACTCTTGCTTGATACAGCTCGAATTGAAGCAGGTCAAATAATTCTTTTCCGATGGACCTTTATTTGAGTAGTTGGATCACAACTCACTAATTTTTAATAAAGATTATTAATTTGAGTGTGGTACTCAGATCCTCATAGCACTCTCAGAGAGGATAGCCGCATCAATTTAGCGCGTGATTTTCTTTTCAAGAAATCAGTCATGACTTCTTCCGGTTAAAAAGGTTTTCTGATTTTGTCCGCATGCTTCTTTTTATTATCAGGAAAATAATTCCGATGAGGAGAGCAACTCCGAATTTGGTTCGGACCTCCAGACAGCGGATCACCTGGACCTGGGTCCCATGTTGGTGAAATTGCCCAATCTGGAAGAATTATCTGTGTCGTACACCGTCAAAGACTGTGGAATGAATTTCGAGTGGTCCATCTTTCAGTTTACTGTGCACGATTGTGTCAATTTAGCCAAAGCAATACAGCAGCATAAGAACATACGAGCACTCCATCTAACTAAGTAAGCTACTGATTCCTTAAGGTAACACCGATTGTTTGATCAGTTTATGTGGCTAGCCATCTGATCGTATTATGATTACAGCTGGTAGTTCAGAAATATCCGACAGATAGTCGGTGAGAACATTACCTGTCAGTGATGAAAGCAAGCAACTACGACAGAGCAACAGCAAAATATTGACCCAAGCGGATGGCGGAAGTGCCGCCTCACTTATAGAGGCACGGACAGCTATGCTTTGCTGGTATGATGGCAGAGGCATGAAAGTATCGAATCTTAGAACCAATTCCAAACTGCTTTGGTAAGTCTCCTGTGTCACTCAATCCTAGCGTTGCATCTAACGATCGGTTTCGTCTGCAGCTGTACTCAGTAGGTGGATATAGACTCTGCTGGAGTGGAACTCGCCATCTAATTGTTAGTCTGACGATGTGATCAGTAGGCCACTGATATCCGTGTGCAACCCGCTTTAACGACTTGTTCTACGCCATGGACACCAGCTCGTCCCTACTTAGTAGATGCTGATTGATCGCATTACATATTTTGGCTTCGGAGAGCTATTCACCACCTAGTATATTGTTTTTGCACCTGAATTTTGTGATGAACGAACTTGAGTGATCTACGGAATCATGAGTTCCTGCTTTAGATCGGTTTAAGTCTGGTTTAACTTGATTGTTATTGGTGCAAGGCCTCCCGACTGGCCCCTCAGGCGCTAAACCCGTAGAAGAATGTTGTTACCTGCTTGACCCGCTTGACCACCTTTAACCTGTATAATTTGGAATCATCATTCCGAAGTGGGAGAACCAAATACCGCTTGAGAGAAAACTTTTCATTTCGTTCCATTCAAACATTGAATTGCCGAGAGCGCTCAACCTTACAAGCACCACTGTACAGACCAACGCTTTGGCGGCCAGGTTTTGGTGGTTAACCGTGACCTCAGTGGTGGTTATGCGTAGAATGACAAACAGCTCGCGGCCAACATAACACATTTGTATCGGACTTCATTCACGACGTATCTGGACTAATTGTTCAACAAACGGTCTGCCACGCCATTACATTGATTAATCCAATAAGTTCGCCTTGAAAATTATGATGATACTGGTAATACCTAGTTACTACGAAGCGTGTTCAAAACGAAACCGAATTTTGAAACAACATGCCAAACTGAAGAGAGAGCGCGCAGCAGCTACTGAGAGAAGGTGGAAACTTGGTGGTTCGGTGTTGCTACTCCCAACCCTGACACCACATAAGCGGTTTCGGAACTCGACGCCTAGCCCTCAGAGCTTGACAGCTAGACCACTATGGCTCTAAGATCCTTGAGCAATGATTGGCGCATCGGTAAAGAATTCCAAGTGGCATTTGGTCTAGCCGCTGTGTGCTTGGATTGCGACTCGCGATCTCCATCCAGACCTCGGTCCTCTTTGAAGTAGACCTCGGAGACTTGTTAAGACAACAAACTGTCATTTGCCGCATTTCGCTCTGACTGTTACTTGGCGAGCTACAGCCGCTGAGGTGAGCACGTGCACAACCTGCTGGTCGGATTAGTGCCAAAAAGATGAGAAGTTGAAGAACAACGTGTGTGTGTGTGAAATTTTGTTACCAACTTGGCAAAACTTTTACAGCGAGGACTGTATAAGTCGCAAGCAGTGCTATAAGTGGCTTAAGTGTTTCCAACATGGCAGGTCAATCAGTGACCACCCAAAGCTTAGAAGACCTTTTAACTCAACAGTCAATGACCATGTCGGCAGAGTTCGTGTTGTGATCCGTGGAACTCGTCGTTTAACTGTCTGAGAACTTGCTGACGAAGTGGGCATCAGCGTATGATCATACTATGAAATTTTGAGTGAATAACTGGTGGCGCGTCATGTCAGTGCAAAATTCGTGCGGCGTTTGTTGACTGAGGATCAGAAACAGAATCGTGTTGAAATCAACCAGGAACTGCTTGCCACTGCCAATGACAATGAAAACTTCCTTAAGAACATCATAACAGGCGATGAGACGTGGGTTTGTGGCTACGATATTGAAACGAATGTGCAGTTGTCGCGGTGGATGGGGAAAGGGTCTCCTCATGCAGGAATGCCCGCATGAATCGATCAAACGTCAAAGTGATGTTTGTTCTGTATTTTTTACTGTAAAGGCATTGTCTCTCAGTAATTTATACAACATGGTCAGCGGATAAACAAGGAAGTCTATCAGGGAATTCTAGCTCGTTTGAGGGATTCAGTGCGCAGGAAGATGCCTGAACTGTGGCAAAACCAGACTTGGATGTAGTATCATGACAGTGGGCCGGGTCACGCATGGCTCCTTGTCCGCAGCTATTTAGCAAAACATCGCACTCCCATTGTGCCCTAGCCAATAAATTCTCCGGACCTAGCCACAGCAGACTTTTTCCTGCTTTCCAAACTTAAAACCACGTGGCAAGGAGGTCATTTCCAAAGTATGTAGGAAATTCAGAACAATGCGACGAGAGACCTGCGCGCCATCCCAGAAAGTGCGTTGAAGGAGGGTTTCCAAAATGGAAGCACCGTTTGGAACTGTGTATTGCCTATTTTAAAGGGGAAAGTGATTAAACTCTTGTGCAAGCAGCAATAAAATGTTATAGCAAAAGTTCAGTTTCTTTATGAGCACACCTCATACCTGTGAAAATCGACGTAATAAAATCTTGCTGTAACCCACGATGGTCAGTTGAAAGGAGGGATCAACTGAGACCATCTCCAAACGAGGCGTATACAATGGAGCAGCCATCTCATATGACGACGCTGATGAAGCCTACATAAGTGTGAACCGCGGTCTGGATGTCGCTTACTGGAGGTGAAGGACAAAGACACTTTGGAACTTAGACTGGAAAGGGCCGACACCGTGTTAATGCGAAAGATCATTATATTCCAGAGCACGTAAGAGTGGAACGCACTGGAATGCATTAGAGTGGTGGAAATTGTTGTGTCGCTGCTGACGCCTTCACCCCACGACCGCAAGAAGAAGTCCAAGACGAGCCAGAACGAGACTTGTATACATGTAATCACAGTTGCTTATATAGTTTGAAGGCAAAATGAAGGGAAGCTACTAAAGTACACTTGAACCAACCAACTGAAGGAAAGACGTAAAATGCAACGGCGAATAAGCAACCGTGTATGTAAGAGCGAATCGCGTAGGTCCTTAAAAATAGCATCATTGGACTCCAAGCGTAAAGCGAACGACCATTTACAGTGACGGGCACTGGCCAACCAGAATGACGAAATGAAACATTTAAACAAAAGTCACGAAACAAACGCGAAAAAGGAATGCAGACCCAAAAGTTGAAAACTAGTACAATAATTGTGTGACACTAAATATTCCTTTAACATAACTAAGTAGAACAGTGATGAGAAGAAAAAACCAATAGAATATGTTCTTGCAAACAGCGCTGCTGAGAAGGGCATGACGATGAGCGTCCATTAACAATGACGCGGATGTACCAATCGGGCGAACCCAGTAGAGCGTTTAAACAACAGTCAAGAAATAGAAAATAGGAAGAGTAAAGGATAGCTATCAAGCTCGGTCACAATAAATGAATGTCTAATAGCTGTTCTCCTAATAGAAATCATTGAGGGTTTCTCCGCAGCAGTTTCCATGCTCCTACTCCGCGTCCGCTGCGCACATCCGTCGTTTATCTGCCCCACCACCACAGTAGATACTTTTTTCTTCAGTCTTGTGATGCACTTTCATTGGCCGTTCAACAGGATTTGTTCGTTCTATTCATCAGGACGGAGGCAAACCACTTAGGACCAAACCAGACTTGTATCTGTCATGGTGACATGTATTTATTAGATCTTTTCCTTTGAAAATCGTGGTTTCCCTTAAATGCAGTTCAAGTTCAAACAATTAACGTATTCATAAAAGATATTGACATGAAATAGGGGCTAGTCCCTCGTCAGTTATTTGTATAAATAGTCAGCGATTTTATGTATCCTTCCTATGCTTTCACAACTGGCATAGATTTTTAGTGCAACTTCCTCGTGTCTCTACATGTTCACATTAGGCTCCGTGAATGGACTGTGATACATTGTTTAAAATGGAATACGATTAACTTCGAAGCAAACTTCGGTCACTTTGGCTGCTGGAACCATATGACGTCTAGAAATATGGAACAATGGAACAGTGGGTTTACCACGGATATGAAAGCAAATGCTTAACAGATTTCCGTAGTTGAAGAGTGAGATCACACCTGGATGTAGTATAACAAACAGCGCCTAGCGGTGGACTTACCGCAAATTTCTCTTATGCGCCTTGTTTAATTACCTTGTTGTGTGTTCCATTAACTTGGGTTAAATTACCTAATGCAGGTGGTGTAGGGCACCATCAAGTCGACCTTTGAATTCTGACAACGTAAGAGCAGATAGGACAAAATGTTGAAGTAATTTCCACAGCTAGTTTCCATGAAATGAGAGAAGTTCCCGTGGCATTCCAACCGGCTATACTTTGTCGCCAGCTTCATTTGGCAGCCTCTCAGTGAGGTGCTGTGACTATTTCAATAAGGGTCGGCATGGGTGGTTAGAGTCCTTGTGGATCTGATATGTAAGTATGAAAGTACTTCGCAAAAGACGCTATTGTTCACTAAAACTCCTAGGGTGTTGTGTCAACTAGTAATCGAGGCAGAGCAATCCCTTAACATTTTGTTGCCCTCTGTTGTGGCCTCTCAAGAGCAGTGAGATCATGTTTTGCCGGGGGTGCCACACCTGAATGGCGTATTCAACATGCGGTCTCACATTAGCGTTGAGCATTTGCGAAACGGAGGTAGGGTTAACTTGGCAAAACGCAATGCGCAGTGGGTCCAAGTATTGGTTTTTTCACTGCCATTTCAGTCTGCTTTGAGCATCCGAGATCCACTTGTACAAACGCCCAAGGTCACTTTCATGAGAAACGCGCTGTAAAACTAGTTGATATTCGTAGGTGCTCTCGTTGCGTTTGTTTGACACTTGATAGGGTTAAACTCAAGCACTTTCTGAGCTGACCACTCGTAAGCCCTGTCGAGATCACCTTGTAGTGCTATGTGGTCGTTTTCTCATTTAATTTCCCGCCAACTCTTGCGATCCTCCGCAAAGAGTAGAAAGTTCGACTTCAACACTCCCGCGAGATCGTTTCTGAACACGAGGAACAGCCGTGGTCCTAGTACCAGGCCTTGATGGACATCACAATGAACATCTACCTAGTCGGACAAAGGGTTGCGAACCCTCTCATTCAAGCATGGTTGGAGTAGGAATGAATTAATGCAGCCCTGGATAGGATCACCGATTCCGTAGCTCCGAAGTTTTTGTAGAAGCATCCGTTGATCTAGACTATTAGATGCCCTCAAGAAATCAGAGTAGGCTGCGTCGACTTCTCTGGCATCGACTGATTTCGTTCAGCTAGCAAGGCTAACAAAAGATTCGTAGTACATCAGCGGTTTTGGCGGAATCCACGCTGCTCTTGCACGATGGCTTTGCATCCCTACAACTATCCCATAATCGTATCGGCAACCATAGATTTCATGAATTTAGCAAGTGCAGGAAGATTAACAACCGGGTAGTAGGTTGCGGGCAATGCACGACTGCCTTCCTTTTAAATGGGTGTGACTATTCCACGCTTCTACATTGTTGGGACCTGCATCTGATTGAGAGAAATCTGGGAAACTAAGATAATGTGATATAGAAGCAGATGTTGGTAGCTCAGCTCACAAAACTGAGATAATGGTTCAGCCAAGCTCGTGACAGCTATTATTATTGATTTGGGGCGTATGCTACCCGGACTAGCTAGTGGGGCTCACTCCTAGTATTTCGCATCCGGTTTTATTCTTTTTCGGACACTACAGGTAGGACTGGCTGGTATCAGTTTTAAGTCGAACCTAGGACTCTACTCCTCTTGCAAGTGCCTCCGGCATCCAAATATTTAGCTCACTCAATAGCGCGCACTTTACTGTTAGAGACAAATGAGAAGGATTACACTGAGACATTTGATGTGGTACAAGCTTCCAAAGCTCCTTTAGATTTTGTTATCGAAACCACTACCGAAAATCCACCTGACGCTCCTTTGAAACTGTGTCCATTCCATGTTTTCTAGAAGTCGAGTTGATTCAGATAGATGTCGAGTTCTGGTCAACCACATTTTGCAGCATCCCACTCTTGAGTGCCTGGATTTATCGCACAACTTTATCGGGGACCGTGGGGCACGTGCGTTGGGAAAGCTTATCAGCGGAAACAATCAGTTGAGAACTCTGAATCTTGCGGACAACCGTCTCCAAGCCACCGGCGCTCTGGCTCTTGCACATGCTCTGGCCAAGAAGTCCTGCACGTTGGTGCGTCTAAACCTTCGCTTGAATCGTCTCAGAGACGATGGCGGGATTGCCATCGCCAAAGTGAGTCGGAGGTGAAATACCAAAATGTTTGCGCACCCATTGTCACGAAACCGAACTGCGCACTGGGTCTTGTCTTGCACTCGGCAATTACTGGCTAGGGTTGAATATCGGATTACATTTAACTGTTACGAACACATACCCATAAGCGTATTTGCTAAAACAAATAATACCCGCATGCCAGTGGGTTTAGGCATCGACGAAGAATTGCATCCACATAGATAAAATGTTAGCATTTTGCTGAACTTGTGCGTATCGTTAATCACGAGGTAGAATCCATTATAACACACCTAAACCATTCGGGGGAAGTGAGCCCCAATTCAAATGAGTTGAGGGTATCAAGACGGATGCTTTATCTTATTATCGGCAATCAGAACCAGAAAACCCTGTTTGTCGCACTGAAATTAAATGGATGGAAATCACTGATTGTTTGTGGAGTCGTCTGCCCTCACCGAAAACATGGAGAACGTAGGTTGGCTTTTCTAAACAGCTTTTTCATGTCTGTTAGGAAGAGGAGCAACTATCCAGCGTCTTGTTACGAGTAAGAATCAATGCACGATCTGATTCCGCAGTCTGATCCGGATTCAATTGACCAAGATGGAGCTCCCTAACCTAATAGTAGCTAGACTCAATATTATTTCTGTCTTGTACCGTTAATCACTTCACGAAAGTGTTCATAATCGTGAACAGTATCTGCTTACTGTTAAGGAGCTGTCCGTTAATCCGGTTGTTACTTTTGCCGACATCGCACACGTGACCACTAGCATGTGGTCGCGTGCTCGTGTGTTGAGATTTCATCTAATCTGCCTCGTGTCATTTACGCTTCATTCCCCCCTCATGTAGAGCCTGCTGCGCAACACTTCATTGAAAGAGCTCAACCTGGCAGCGAATGACCTGGGTGAGACAGCTTCCAATTATCTGGCTCACGTGATCGCTCACAACAGGACCCTCACCCACTTAGATTTGTCCAACAACCAGGTTGGCGTGGTGAGTTCCACTGAGGATGCACTCAGTTCGTTGTTTTTGTGCGCGTTGCACATCCAGCTTGGACCCGATTTAGCCACCCGCATAGGATTAACCTCAAAACGTCAAGCCGGGTGGAGTGGATTACGAGACAGTGCCCATCCTCTTTCACCGAACTGACTTCACCCCGGAAACACCCAAGTAGTGTCTAATCTTTATGCACATGAATGTGGGCACACCAGTTTCACCAGTTTCGTCTAGGAAGCCAACATTTATCTGCCAGATCAAGTTTCTTGGCAGAATACTTCATATTTTTCCGTGGTGTCATTAGTTGATCACTTTGAAAGGTTGTTCAGACAAGCGTTGTATTGGTAGGCAAAGCAACTTGAAGAAGGCAATGTACAGAGGTTTACAGAATCCAACATAATCGACCTAGATGATTGAAGTAAAAATGAATGCCTGTTGATACGCCAGATTGTGTCTTCGACCCACGTTGTTGCTCGCTCAGTGTCCCAACAATAGGAGGGACGCAACCTCCACTCCGTTGGCATCTGCAGTACGCAATGACCATTAATTAATCCAATTTATATGCTAACACTACCCGCACTAGGCGGTAGTTCACGCAGGGCATGAATATGAGTAAACATGTGATGTTCGAATGTCCAATCAGAAACTTTACGCAAATTACCCCGGTCGAATTTCACTGCTGTTGTTCACTTTCATTCGAAATAAACACCTCGCGAAGACCGCTAGTCGAAGGCTCTCTGATGGTATGATGCACAACGACACGCTGTTGTACTTTGACCTTCGTTTCACTGGATGCAATCAGGAGGCCGAGTACGCAATTTCTCAGCAAGTGGAAAGGAACCAGGACCGCGTACGACGCATGCTTGTAGCTCCGTCACTAGTAAGTGCTCCCTTTCTCACATTGCATGCTAATATAATCATTGTGATGTGCATTGACGGAAATTGTAGGCCAAATCGCGGTGACAGTTAGTTGAATAGCTTTTCATCTGCTAAGCTGCAAGCTCTTTGACGTAGCTGGATTGTTTCTGACAAAACTGTGCCAGATGGTGAATACTTCAACCCTCTAAACTTGTTCAGGCTTGGAGCGCCTGACCGGCATTTGTCTGTTCGCTACTGATGCTAACCTGAGCTTCCACAGGAGCACATATCATCTTATAAAATAAATTAGTTCATTTTGCTGAGGGCAGCCTAAAATGCACGACTTTTCATGTACTCTAAAAAATCCATCTTAGACTATTTACCTTGAGGGTCTCGTGCGGTGTGACAGACATCCGGGAGGTGTGATGACTAGGCGACCCTTCAAAAGAGGCATGATGGCTTTTATTCCTGGCTAACATCGATTATTGTGTTTCATTTGCATCACGGAAGTAACGGTACCTGAATGCTCCTTGTATTTTCTGACGGTGACAGCCTTGTGTGTCGCATCATATGTGCGCAACTCGAGTGTTTCCAAACCGCAGTTATGCTCCCTTTCTACTGTGTGGTCACTATCGAGTACCTAGGTGCGCCATCTCTACTGAACATCGTCCCCGCTGTAATTTGAATGAACCACGCGTGTACAAACAGCACACCAAATGTTCTTGTTGCTTTGCGAAGTGTCATTGGGTGAATGAGGACATATTCCTGTGCTGCTACATTTGCTCGGAAGGTCGATTCATATCTAATTCTAGAAAAATGTAGCAACCCGTTGGCTGCGGTTGTTAAGGTGTTTGAGCTTCAATCAACTTAGGAACACCGCAATAGGAAAACGCAAAATCTGGTACACCACTACGTCATCACGCTGATCGGGTGTTGTTTCCCGCTCTCACTCAGCTGTCCTCAGTCGACTTCGGCTAGACGCTACCTTAAATTTCCATACTACGGTTCTGATGAACTTGATATCAAATGCTGATAGTGCAAACAAGCTTTCGCAGTCGGAAACCTGGTTCTTTTTTATCCATGGAACAATTAGGTCTCTTTTACTAATCCAACAACGAGATTAAAACGATAGAAAAGGCTACCTAAATGTATGACCATTACGTTCGTTCCTGTAAGTGCTACTTATTACTGACAAAAATGCTGAACTAAGGTAGTATATTCCTTGTTATGTCCTTCTTAATCTAGTTACAAAGTATTCCACTTTATTGGATTTGCTCAGTTTTGATATTCTGCTGCATATTCCGTGTAAACTTTGCGTGGTTATTTTCTCCATAGTTTGTATTGGTTCTTTGGTATCCCCGGTGTGGCTGCCCATCGCAATGAGGCTGGACCTTACCGTCGTGCGACAATGTGCGTGCCTCAGTGATCCATTGAGCTATGCTGGGTGGTGCTTCGATACACCTTCAGAGCCGCTCACCCCAAATTGGTCAATGGTTAAAGGTCAGACAAACTCAATCTCCTAGTCCTCCAGGTTGCATTTGGGAGTGAGGATGGCTCCTTATTCTTTAAAACGGATTGCTTGTAGTCCTTTGCCAAATCCGCTGCCTTGCGGTTAGGTTTTGCACCAAAGGCTTTGGTTGAGAACCCTAATCCTTCTCCTCTCTAGACCTGAACAACCTGACAGCATCTCGTCCACGCAATACTATGAATCTTTCCTCAAACAACTTCTTGCTGCACTGACCGTCGCAGAGCATAATAACAACGCTATATCCGATGCATCCAGGAGGGTGGATAGGGGTTTGGATCCTATTGCCCAAGCCCTCCCGTATTCTTATTCTCCCTCTTACGCTTTTTCACCCTTCTCGTCCCGTCCCAACTCCACTTTTATCCCCCATTTAAACCCCCCATTGCTGGGCCTTCCCACACCAAGATTTAAGCTGTGTAGATCTTCTCGTATCAACTCAGATGCAAACGAGGAGTGGCACACTTGCCCTATCCACAAGCCCATGTCTAACCAAGCGGTGACGACCAGTTCGTCGGCTTCTATTTGGAGACACCGATCCTCCATCAGATTGGCAAGCTTCAACCTATTCACATTGTTACAGATCGGTCAACAGGCAGCAATTGCCCGAACATTAGCGACCGTCTCGATCGATATCTGCTGCATACCAGGAAACCGCCTACTAGCCCGGAGCTCTGTTCTCACTCCGCGATCTCTTTCAGGGGACACCAGCACGGCTTTTTCATTGCGCCTATGCACAGCCAATGCAGCTTCGAGTACCGGCCAAGTCAGCGTTAGTAGTTCCCTGGGTCCTCAGGCTGAAGCTGTAGTGGTTGATTGGATCCCAAGCAGTAGCTGGATGCGCCCGGTCCGATTGGCTGGCTCCTTCAAAGCTTCGAAGTCGCGCGGAGCTGTGTGGTGCCTGTTTGTCATCGCTGCCTATGCTCCAACAAACTGTAGCGATAATTCGATAAAAGCCGACTTCGATCGTCAACTGAACGAGCTCCATCGCCACAGAAGGAGCACGGACACTGTGGTGCTTTCTGGGGATTTGAAGGCTCAACTTGGGAATTTGTCCACAAATGAGCTGCATCTGCGTGGCCAACATGGTGTAGGCTGCCGTAATGATAGCCGTGATCGGTTACTTCATTTGTGTGAAGATACCCGCCTGATTCTTGAGAGCCCTAACTTCCGTCACAGCGCCCGCCGGAGGGTGACATGGCGCCCACCAGCATTGAGCCAGCCATAGATGCAAATCAATCACATCGCGAGCACTTACCGCTGGAGAGGCTGCGTTCAAAACTATCGCTCGATTTGGCACACATATGTGGATAAAGATCATGCACTTGTATGTTCTGATCTGCGGTGCGTTTTGACGAACGCGCTCGACGATCCTGTGAGCGCGTAGGCACTAGCCAATTGGCGAATCTGTGTTCAGAATGGGTATCGAATATCACTGGCGCTGGAGCTGCGCAACCGCTTTTTGGGTCCCAATGTATCTCCCTAATCTGGTGTTCACCTGGCCTTACTAGAAACAGGTAAATCTACTGGCCAACATAGACTTTTGGTCTCTTCGCATTCTCTGGCACTTATCGATGCTCTCCGGCACATTCCGGTTGAAAGCCAACACTTCGGGACACGAAAATACCTCCTGAAAACACTCCGTGCTAGCCTGATTAGAGACCACGAATCCTCGTGGTAACATAAATGGAAATGGCGGCTGCCCTTGGTAACCATCGGAAGTTATTCCGTACGGTACGGGAAACGGGCGGCATGAGGTCTGGTGTTAGTGAAAGTATTTATGTCCAGAGTGGTTAGCCTATCAAAAAGTTGTCAAATGCTTGTAGCGTTGGGCAGTGCATTGTGAAAAGTAATTTAATCGGCCGGAATGGTTCGATTCCTAACCGACCAGTGTTCGCCCTGTTCCCTGGGCTGTCTTTGGATCCACCCTCTCGCTCAAAACTCGAACTTGAGATCGGATTGTTTAAGTTGACTTAAGCCGCGGGACCAGTAGAAATTCATCCAGCCCTCTTAAAATTCGGGGGTCCGGCTCTTGTTTATGATTTACACGAGTTTCTAGTAAAACTGAGAGCAGGAGTCTATCCCAACTGACTAAGTCGCTGCGTTTTTTCCCGGTCTTTAAGGAATGTTTGCGTTAGGAAAGCAGCAAGCGTAGAGGAATCAGTCTGATCCCCATCGCTTCTAAATTGCTTGCCTCTGTAATCCTTCATAAACTGACTGATGATCCTGAAAGTCAAATTCGTGAAGTGCAAGCCGGTTTCGTCGGGGTCGTGCTGCAGCGACCACATATTCACTTTGCGTCAGTTGTTGGAGCACCGTCACATATACTGGGGGCCCACCATAGTCATGTTTCACAACATTAAAAATCCCTTTGATTCGATTAATAGATGTCTACGCAGGCTAGGTTAGCCGGAGAATTATGTAAGCATTATCCGAGTGCTATAGCACGTAGCTTGGGCAGTGCGTGGACTTACGACAAGCTGCCGCCACCTTCGGAGATCTCCGTCGATGTAGGACAAGGATGTCCGCTGTCACCTTTCCACGGCAATTTCGCTACCGATGAAATCATGGAGATCGCGTTCACAGAACACGACTTATAATGTGTGGAGCTGCTCCAGATGAACGAATTCTTGACTTGGAGTATGCGGACGACATTGCCCTCATCTGTGACAGCTCACAAACGTACCAAGCGGCTCTAGACAGAGTAGCACTGGCCGTCAGCCGCTTTGGGCTTTGATTTGCACTCTCGAAGTGCAAAGCATTCCTCCAAGATTGGCAGTGACTACCTTCTGCGCTGTCGCTTGGTGGGGATTAGCTAGAAGTCGTTCAAAGGTTCAACTACCTAGTTAGTTGTACCAGCGCTGTTGTAAATGAAGACTAGGTCACAGACCGTATAGCAAAAGCACGAAGCGCTTTTGCTAATCTTCGTCAACTTTGTTGCCGGTGCGACATCACTCTCTCCTTGAATGGTAGAGTGTACAATGCAGCTGTTCGTTCGAGCCTTCTGTATGGTTGTGAAATCTGACCCATTAGGTCAACAGACATAAAGAGGCTAGTTAGCTTCGACCACCTGTGTTTTCGCAGTTGGTCTCATAACTGGTGGGAACACCGTGTGAGCAATGGGTGAGCTCGACGCCTTGGTTATGGTGCAGACAGAAGTAGCGAACAGCACAGTGCCGTTATTTCACGCACCAGCCTTCGATGGCTGGGCAAGGTTTTGCGCATACCAACCCACCTACTCACGCAACGTGCGCTGCTTCAGCGCCTGGCTGCGGATGGAAGAAGAAGAGAGGTGGCCAAGCCTTTACTTAGTCGAGAGAAATAAATGCCCTCACTTCGAGGCCGGCCTCAGTTGGAGCATCTCGACTATCTGGTTGGGGACAAAACAAAGATGTACATGTTTGGCTGTTTAGAAGCCGATCTCAGTGGCGTTTGTGTTGTGTGTTTCTTTGTCTCCCCTACAGCTTACCTCTACGCCAACCACGATCTCATTTATTAGA